CTTATTGAGAACCATTCCAGGCAAAGCAACATCTCCATGGAGACAAACATGTGCCAGGTGCTCTACCAGAAAAGTTATGCAATGCACTTTTAACAAAACCAACCAACCATTTGTGTATTCCAAACACGTGTTGTATATTTAGTGAGCTTCTGCCTTCTGCTCTGTTCACATTATCATATCCACACAGAGGAAAACAGGCATTTCATCTTTTTTATGTAATTATTATGAAAGTTCAGGATGAGATTTGTAAAACTTTATTGGATAGAATTTTGTGCAAGTTTTTGTAAGTCTAAATATTTGCAGCGTACTAGAGTCTTGAACTTCCTCTGAACTTTTCCCATCCATTGGTTTCGGAGAGAAACAAAACTGCACTGTCGCCACAGAAATTCACAAACAGAAACAATGGCTCTAAATAGAAATATCCTCAGTAGTTCTGTAAGATTAATCTCAATGAAATCAAAACTGCAATTTGAATGGACACAGTATTCAGATCACAAAGGCTGCCATTTTTAAATCATCAAAATATAACCAAAATATTCAGCTGAAGATCTGCAAAAATGTGCTGAAATGTGATTCTTGTATTTGTTTGTCATATGTCTAAACACGATCGCAATGTTTGTCAGAAAAATTGCAATTAGAATTTTTGTTTTCACAAAACTTAAACATGTATTGTGTAACTTTTCTGGTGGAGGGTCCGTCAAATGTTTTCCCCCTTGTAGATGTTGTTGCTTTGTCTGGAAAGTTTCACAGTATGGCATTAAACTTTTCTATCTTCATGGAGACCAAAAAAGACCAAGTTACAGATCTGTGGAGAGGCGACCCTGCTCAGAAGACATATTTTTCTAGGTATTTTTGAACTATAAAACTACTTGTAATTGAATAAATGTAAAGTAGAGCTGTTTAATGTCAGACCATGGAACATTTTAGGGCGTTTTCACACTGCTAGTTTGATTATTTGGACCGCACCAGGCAATAAAATTGTTATTATGTAACAAATACGCTTCAGTGTGGTCCGCTTTCACACCGGCAAACGAACCAAAATTGGTCCGATTGACGAGCTTCCAATTATCAATACTGATGTTCTCTGTTAAGACCACGGGCAGTCCTCATCTCAAGTTATCACCATGAACTCATATAAGAGCATGTAGAACTTTATACAAACTCACCACATCAGCCCAGAGCAGAAGCTCTGAGTTCAGGCAAAAGCAGCAGCCAACAGCGGTAAAGAGGAGCACTCACCGGAGCTCGCAGCTCCTCAGGACGGGGCTGAGGTCTGGTCCTTGGTCTTCTGCCTTCCTCCGAGTGTGTTGATCAGGGAGGTCCGGAGGATCCGTCCTCCATGTGCTGATTCCAGACAGTGGCAAGCAGTGCCAATGTGCAGTGGACTGGGTCTGAGTGGGTACGTTCTGTCGTCTGCGCACTGGTTCCGTGAGGGGAAAGCGAGAATGCACAGTGGACTACAGGTCCGGGTGGGCTGCTCTGGTCCTCCGCTCTCAAGAACCGCGGCTGGTTCCGAGGTGTTGTAAAGCATCCGGACAGAAGCGTGAGTCCTGTTTGGTTGGTTATATGTTGTTCTGAGCATCTGGTCTCCGCGCATTTGGTTCTTTGCGGGGAAAGTTCTTCTCAGGCTGAGGCTCCTAACATCACTCCCCGCTCCAGCTGCTCTGAGCCCGACCTGAACCAGAGCTGCTCCCACTGGGTCAGGACTCTGGTTTGGATCTAGTCCGACTGTAGCATTTCTTACACTAGACTAAAAGCAGGGCTGTATCAATTGAATAGGCTATTGCCTATTGCCATAATTTTTTTGGTTACTTAATAGTCTAAAATAACAAATGCTGGGTCCTATGTGAACACATGAAACACCGGGACCTCTCTGAGCGTGCAGGTCCTGAACAGGAGTACGCACCCATAATTCTGACTCACTCTGGAGCCACACATTCAAAAATGAGTCACAGCTGCGTCTGGAGTTGTACAGCGTGTCATTTCAGGCAGAGGAGACGCGTGTCCTCCCATGATGCATTTCAAATAGTTCGTTTGGCCCTCCTGTCTATGGTTTGGACCCGAGTTCGTGTTCACACCAAAGGAACCGCACCAAAGTTTGGCATTTGGTGTGGATTCAAGCGAACCGAGACCACCTCTTTTCTAAGGTCTTGGTCCAATTGATTTGGTGCGGGTCCGAGTCCGATTGATGCTTTCAAAACAACAAAAACGAACCGAACTAAGAGCTTTTGGTTCGAATGGACCGTTTGTGTGCACCAACTACTGTCAGTGTGAAAGCACTCTAAGGCAGAGTAATGATATATCCATAGAAACAAGCAGGTGGCGGATCCCCAACCAAAAAGTTACACAATGCACCTTTAAAATCATTTCAATTCTTTTCCCTCTATATACTGTTGCATTCTGTCCAGGTTAATTGAAATGACTTTGTCCTTTGTAACAGAAAAACTTCAGATGAGCTGTTGTGAAATCAGTAATCAGCAAAACCAGAAATAAAAATGATGAGTGTTCTTAATATTTAGTCATTGTTAGCACATATTTAGTATTTCCTTATTCTTCAGATGAGGCTTTCTCAAAATGGAACTGACACACTTCCCACGCTGCGTTTATAAATTGTCCAAGAAATAGAACAAGACCCACATAGAGCGAGAACTGGGCGACGCGATATGGGCCAAGCAACGTCTATGTACCTACTTCTTTTCTATTACTGTATTTTTCATACTATAAGTGGCACTTTTTTTCATGGTTTGGGTGTTTGGTGTGACTTATATTTTTAAATATCAACACTGACAGCTGTGAGAGGCTCTAGTCTTGTGTGTCAGTATCTGCTGCTCCTGTTCCTCCTGTACCACTGTCACTTCACTCACATCTCCTGCAAAAAAAGCCGTTGTCCTGCTGAAAAAGTAGTGAAATATTCAGCCGAAAACGTTAATCGAGCAGCAGAAAGAAAGTTTGAAATGAGCGAGAAAATTGTGAGGGACTGAGGAAAAGCGGGGATGGAGAACACAGCTTCACGGTAACCAGGAGGATGCACCCTGCAACTTTCCTGGAAGTCACAGGATGGATGGACAAAGTCTGGACTTCATGGACCATCCTGTCAGGATTCAGAAAGGATGGAATAATTCTAGAACTGATGCTGAGTCTGACGACAGCGACAGAAGAGGAAGCGGTGCTCCGTTTACCTGCGAAGGTCGCGGAGTTGCCATGGATCTATAATAATTTATTATAGTTCTATGAGAGTTTCTCAGAAGTGACACCGAGGATGAAGAATTGAATGGATTTAGTGATTTGGAGTGAGATGGAGAGTTTGGTAAACTTGTTCTGTTCTGTTGTTTATGTTATAGTTTATCTGAAGAACTGTTCATATGTGATGTTAACAGTCTGTTGTTCTCTCTTCTATTGTTATTACTAGAACTTGACTTTTAACATGAAATGTCTATTCCTGTTTTCTGATTTTATAAAAAATAAATTTCTCCAAAAAAGTGCAACTTAGTCCGGTACGACTTATTTATATATATATTTTTTTTTCATCCCCTTTACGCATTTTTTGGCTGGTGTGACTTATACTTTGGAGCCACTTATAGTCTGAAGAATACGGTATTAGGTTTGTGGCCCTCTCTGCTGTTGGAAAGTGAATATTTCAATGGTATAGTTGCTGGTATGCTTTTATTTAGACAATGTATTCTAACATTACTGATTTTATAAAATACATTTCCCCAAAAAAGTGCGACTTACAGACTTTTTTTCTTAATTATGCATTTTTTGGCTGGTGTGACTTATACTCTGGAGCGACTTATAGTTCAAAAAATACAGTACGCAATTTTGACTCTTGTGACCTTTAAGCCATGTTATAATGTTAAATCATCACAAACAGACCTGGAGTTGTTTTGTTTCATTCACACATGTTTGAGTAACACTTTATTACTAGTCTGTTGACATCTCCAAAGCTCAAAACGCTCTGTTCCACCATGTGATGTCATGGTGTGATAGTTTTCAAGTGAAGCTCATTTAACGTTTGTGTGTCAAACATGCGTGAGAGAAACATGTATAAAGTCAGATCAGAAAACAGTCTAATGTGGGCCCTTTAATCAAATGCATGTGGATCTCAGGTACATTTCAGTAATGTTATTCCAACATCGAGCAATCAAAACATGCAAGCAGCTTTATTTATCATGCCGTTAGTGTAATTAGGAGCATTTATTGGCGCGTCTTAATGATTAATGATGGTGAAAACAAGTCTGTGTGTGTGTGTGTCATCAGATCTCAGAAGCCAAACAAGGTTGGGCCTGGTCAGTACTTAGACAGGAAACCGCTGGGAAAATCAGGTGCTACCGTGGGGCGTCAGTGGCAAGATACTGACGGCGTGTCCTTAGGCAAGACACTAACCCTAACCCACATTGGCTCTAGTATGAATGTGAGTGTTGGCGGTGATCTGAGGGGTGACATGAGCAGACTGACAGCTTCACTTTCATCAGTCTGTTGTCTAACCACCACCAGATATGGAATGAAAGAATAATGCATCACTGTGAAGCGACTTTAAAGGGACAGTCCTGAATTTTGGACATAGGGCCTCATTTCCTCGTGAGCCAGAGTGTTGGAGACGTGTGGAGACAATTTTTGAAATATTCCATCCAGTCCTTGTATTTGCAGAGGTCGCTGGTGCTAGGCTAGTGCATGTCAATGGCCATAGTTAGCCTGCCACTAAAAACAGTCTTACCCACTCCACAAAACACCCGAAACAAATCTATTATTACACCAGACTGTCCATGTAAATGTCTGTGTTGATAGAATTATTTTAGCTCACTAGGAAATGACGTCCTATGTCCAAAATTCCGAACTGTCCCTTAAAGCGTGTGGAAAAGCGTTATGTAAGACGAATGCGTGTATCTCTGTGTGTGTGAGTGTGTGTCTGTGTGTGTGTCAGTGTGCGTGTGTGCGTGTGTCAGTGCGTGTATGTGTCAGTGCATGCGTGTGTGTGTGTATACCAGGCTCTCCGCACTAACCTTCTCCTCCAGGATGGGTTCACAGTTGGAGTAATTGCTCTTGATGGCCCACGTGCCGTTCTCCATACACTCCCTGTACGCGCTCCCTGTGAACACACAACACACACACATCACACATCACACATCACACACAGGATCAGACATGAGCCACAACACACGTCACTGGTGAAATATACTGTCAGCTCTAACTACGACTTCAGTTACTCCGCTCCAAACGTCAAGTAAGGACAAGCAAAGAGAGACAGATGCTCCTAGATTACTCAAAGTAGACCCTTGTGAGTTTTAAGTTGTGATCTAATGCGGCTACCTCGTCAAAAACAAACCTGGAGTTGTGTTTTGTTTCACACACATCAGTACGCACAATAACACAGGCCCTTTAAAGACGCTATATGTAACTTTTCTGCTTGTCTCCATGTTTTGATCTGCCTGCATGTTCCACAATGTTTCCTTAAGCGTATATATTTTTCATAAAGACAAAGCAGGAGATGACATTATGCCAAGTTATAGGTCAGGTCTGTGGAGAGGTGACCCATCTCACTATAAGAATGTTACAGTGTTGCTTCATCATCACAATCAGACCTGGAGTTGTGTTTTGTTTCATTCTCACATGTTTAACACAAATCGTGCACATTTAGACTGAGTTCTTCTCAACAAAAAACACTCTGTTCCACCTTGTGATGTCATCTGGTAATACAGGAAGTGCTCCACTGTGTTTTTGTGTTAAATGCCATACACCTTCAATAGAATAGTTTGGATTATTTCAGATCTTGAATTGCCAATCTCTACTGAACTAAAGATTAAATGATTAAACTCCAGGTCTGTTTTTGAGACAGTAATAACATTCCTGAGTGGATTCAGTGTAATACAAGAGCTTTAAAGTCATCATCTGTACCATGAATGCTTCTGATGAATTAAAGCTGTAAAACAATCACAACTGAACCTGTTTGAAGACACTTAATGGGAAAGAACTGGATGTCAGTAAACAAGAGTAAAGTTTTAAAGTGCTGCTGTCACCTTTGTCAGTTGGGACTTGAATCCAATCAAGAATTTGTGAAAAGGCCTGAAAACTGGAGAAAGGGCAAGAATCCAAATGAGAAGTTAACAACAATTGTGCCAAACTTGTCACCAAACATGAAAAGAAAGAAAGAAAGAAAAAACTATGTTATCTACCTTCGTTTGTCTTTTGTCTATCGACCAATCTTCTCTCCATTCATTCATTTAAATTCACTTTGCTACAAGTCTCCTCCAACCCACTCCACTGCAGCAGCAGAATCACCAGCCACTTCAGCCTCTTCAGCTCCTCTTGTCACCACAGAATCAAACTCAAGGAAATCTGAAGAAACTTTAGGCTGCATTGTAACTAACTTCTGGTTGAAACTGCCTTAGTTCAATGTCTCTTAGGGTGCACTCACACAAGGACTTTAGCCCGGTTGGAGGACATGGGCCAAAAGCATGGCCCAGCTGCTCATGTACGCACACATGCACAACTTTAAAACTCAGCGAGTGGTGTGAAACTAACAACTTGGCACTGAATATCAAGACTAAGGAACTTATCCTGGACTTTCGGCGAAACAGATCCCCCCCCCATCCCGCCACCCCACAAAAAAAAAAAAAAAAAAAGTATGAAGCGAGTGGAGTTCTTCAAATTCCTTGAAGTTCACATCTCTGCGGATCTCTCCTGGTCAGTCAACACCTCAGCACTTGGTCAAAAATGCCCAGCAGTGGCTACACTTCCTGAGGGCGCTCAGGAAGGAGCAAATAAACACAAGCTGCTGGTGACCTTCTATCATTCCACCATTGAGAGCCTGCTGACCTCTGCTGTCACAGTGTGGCATTCTAGCTGCACAGAGGCTGACAGGAAGCATCTGCAGAGGGTCACCAACACTGCACAGGAAATTATTGGCTGCCCTCTGCCTTCCCTATCCACCATCTATGACTCCCACTGTCTCAGCAGGGGCTAAGAACATCATAAAGGACAACACACACCCCGACTTCCACCTCTTCAACCTGTTGCCTTCTGGCAGGCGCTTCAGCCAGTACCAGACTTAGGGACAACTTCTTTCCCAAAGCTGTCACCGTACTGAACTCAACTTTACACTGAGAACTGTTAATTTGTTTGGTTTTTTTTGCACTTTGTTAGAGCAGCTCTGCATCTCATCATACTGTATAATGACAATAAAGGCTTTCTATTCTGTTCTGTTGTTCTGTTTTTTACTGTACAAGCCCTGTGTGCGCTGATGTCTCTCATACGAGGAAAACAGTGAATAAAGTCGCTCCAAAACACACACTGAATCCCTGCTCACCTTCAATAAGGACTGTGGACAGGCAACAGAATTTTTGCAGCCTCATTTTCTGCCTCCTCTGCGCTGTTATTATCTCCATAAAATAACGGAGGAGCTTGTTTCGCAGGAGGACTCATATCTGCCTTATTATTAATAGATATTTCTGCCGCTCGATCTATTTTCTCCGCGCCGTGTGCTGACGTCATTGGGTTGTTTTGTTTTGCTTTTTTTTGTTGAGTTTATCTTTTCAGGCGAACTTTAAACTTATCGGACTGCGTTTGCAAACCTGTGCACAGTGTCACTACGGAAACTGCTGAACATTCCACCATAGACACGCATACTTGCATACAGAAACCCCCCACAACGTGATGTCTCGCCAAAATATCAACACATCTCACCGCCTATAATGGATTTTAATTTATAACAAGCAACAATAAAAACCCATTATGAACAAAAAGTTTCCTTGGAGACTCCTTTGTCAACTTCTTCTTCTACCACAGTAAACTTGCTTAAAAATCCATTTCTGTCCCGTTGACCACTACAATAGACATTTTTGACAAAGAAATCAATATGAGCACATTTTGGGGAGTGAATTTAAAAGTTGACAATGGCTGAAGCTCCAGAGGGAAATTCCAGCACAGAGAAAAGAAAGCCTCTTACTTTGTCACACTATTTGCATATTTTCAAAAACCCTCTTTCCATAATCACCTCTGAAACGTTTTGAGTGTTCCTTGTGCATTTTCACAACGCATACGTTTTCAGAAGAAGGTCTTATCTTAGTAAAATGTGAAAGAATTGAGGAAAGCCCAGGAGGTCGTATATACGCATTATATGTTTAGCTTCTTGTTGTTTTGTTAAGTCTGATGGCGTCTTTGTTCTGTTGTTGTTTTGGATGTAAACTTTATGACTTACGGCGCCTGCGTGATCTGAAAAAATACCTTCTAGTTTCTCTGAATTACAAATCAGAGTGAACAAAGGTGGACTGCGTAACTTTTCTGGTAGGGGGTCCGCCGCAAGCTTGTTTCCATGGAGATATAGTTGTTTTACTGCTCAAAAATACTACGAAAAAACCTGACTTCCTACACTGAGCCAAGTTCTACGTCTGGGTGTTTGTGCGAGTATTTTAGGAGAAAAGAAAATGTATGTAAGATTGAAATTTTAAAGGTGCATTTTGAAACTTTTGTGGAGGAGGATTTGTCGAATGCTTTTCTCCATGGAGATGTTATTGCTTTGTCTGGAATGTTTCACAGTATGGCATTAAACCTTTCTATCCTCATGGAGACCAAACCAGACCAGTTACAGGTCTGTGGAGAGGCGTCCCTGCTCAGAATACATGTCTCTCTGTGGAGAAGAAACCCCACTCACAGTCAGATTTGTTTTGGGCTACGTTCAGGGCTACGTTCAGACTGCAGGGCTTACGCTCAATTCTGATTTTTTTGGTGAAATCCGATGTTTTTGCGAGGTCGTTCACATTTCCAATTAAATGCGACTTGTATGTGACTCCAGTGTGAACATTAAATGGCCCAAAAGTGTCCCACATGCACACTGGAGACACGATGACGTTAACGAGCGTGCTCTGTGTTTACGGAAGTTGTCCAAACATGGACGCAGCATCGAGCACCTGGAGATTTTAAAGTTCCTCTTGTACCGGAGCCAGAACATGAACAACTTACTTGTTTTAAGGAGGAGATTGAGAAGGAGAAGGACGAGGTTTTTGGTCATGGTGTTTTGTGGGACAGTCCGTTGAAAGGAACGTGTGGATGTGGAGACGGAGCCAAGAGTGGTGAGTGGTGATGTGCTTCACTTCAGTGACACAGAGTTCATTAACAATTTTCACCTACTTCAGCGCAGAATAGTGACGTTTGTGTCTTGTTGATAACGTGTAGGTGGATGAATGCACTTTGACCGTTCAGACTAAAGTCACATGTCAAAAGATCAGATATGTATCGGGTTTAGGAGCACATATCCAAGTGGCCTTAGTCACATTTGAAAAAAATCGGATCTGTGTCGTTCAGACTATTAGTAAAAGATCAGATACAGGTCACATAGAGGCCAAAAAATCTGATTTGGGTCACTTCAGGCTGCAGTCTGAACGTAGCCTAGGTCATTGTTTCCCAAAGACTCGGTCGTGACCCTCAGGTGAGTCGCCAGAGATTTTTTTTTTGGGTCGCCTTGTCACGATCTGCGTGTAGGTCTGAAACATACAGTTCTCACACGAGAGAGTGAGTGAGTCAGCGAATATATTATCGTCACTCTGGATCAGCATTTTGTCAGAATATCTTGTCCTCAGTATGGCCCATATTTCTATGCTTATTCCATTCACTACTACATATATGTATGAACTGGGATTTTCTGTGCTCACAAAAATGAAGACAAAGTTCAGAAACAGACTGAATGCTGCTCCTGATCTGCATGTTGCGCCTGGACTGGAACACGCTACAAAAACGCAGACAGGCCCACCTATCTCATTAGAAATGTTGAAATGTTAAGACATGTTTTGTATCATTTCTAATCTTCTTGTAATTATTTAATTGACTATTTTGTTCCAGTATTGCTGGTTCAAATGAATGTTGAAAAGAAAACGATGTGACTGTGACTTAAAACTTGAGTACAGAGAGAGAAGATCACTCAGTCAATAATAAAATAGCCTCATTAATGTTCAATAATGGTCAAATCCACCTTTATTTTGTGATTTATGGATAATGTCTATTCTTGGGTTTGTGACTTTATAAATATGGGTCCCCAGAAAAAAAGTTTGGAAACACTAGTCTAGGTAACTGACATGAATATAAAGTAGAGCAATT